GTGAAGCCATCTAAAGATTCTCCTAAGCAGTACGAATACATCCTACAACTTATAATGAAGGTATGTATAACATTTTATGCTTTCCTGAATCCTAGTGAGAAAAAAGTGACTTTTAGTTTTCATTATGAAATTCCATATTCTTTATATCACATTTTCAAACAAATATTTTGATCATTCTGTAGGCGTGTTAAGGGCACCTGCTGATTGATGTGTTTTAAGAGCACTTAAATGGCTTTTTGGAAAGCCAAATTTTGATTTGCATGAACATTAACAAAATCAAAATGTAGCTTGAAAAAAGTCAGTTATTATAAGTGTTTTTAAAACACACTGGTCAGCAGGCACTAATTGTGCATTTCAACAGGAATAAAACTAATTATAAGTCTTCTTTAGGTATGGGGATTGGTGTTGCAAGTGATGACCGAAGGCAAATTGCTCCTAACATAACCCATGTCCCTCCTCCTTCAGTCAAAGAACTTGTTGAAACCCATCAGTCTAGATTCAACTGATCACTGTAGATAAGTGTCTGGCACTTAAAACAAAGTGCTCTGGTTAGGTGGAGCTCATAATCCCTGAAAAGCAGTCCACCTAGGAGAAGGAACTCTGATTACAAACCCCCGGATCCCAATAGTGAGTCAGGCTGTCCATATTGTATTCATTGATCTTCGGTGCACAGCAATACACTTTTCAGGACTGAAGTAAGGAGCAAGGAGTAATTTTAAAGAATAAAAATATCAATGTCAATACCAAATGTTGTGCTTGAACATCCAATGCACTTAATAACTTGTCTTTTATAAAATGAAATATTACTGTTCATAAAGATTAACCCATTAACATGATAAAGGCTTTCATTTGTTAGCAAAGTTTGCTGTGTTTAGTAGACAGAGAAAGCTTAAAATAAGTTTGAAGCAATTTTGAACTGCAATTTTCTTCTTTTGTTGTATGTGTTAAAGTGAATAATCAATCCACGCAAAGTAATGTTTCCTGTAATTTTGCTAAAACACATATACCAAAAAGAGAAAATCCAAGTTTAAAATCGCTTGTGTGAACGGGCCTTAACAGGTGTGAATTACCCACGTTCTTTCAAAATATTTAAAATGATCCTCCCTGTCAAGGGGAGATAATTGCAGTAAAATGGATTAATGAATAATAAAGTTTCCCTCAATGATCCCTCTAATGTATGGCCAGGTCCAGATCAAACATTTCCATCAAGTACTAACTGTGGGAAGAGAGGGCTAGGGTTATGCAAGGCTGTCTTGTTTGTGTACAGCATTTGTTTTCCAATTGTGTTGGCATTGCAACACAGCATCCACATTTGCAATACTCTGAGGCATTTTCTGGGTTTTCGTAGCTGGGTCTGGTTGAAGCGGTTCACCTGGCAATTCACCATTTACCAAATTGACAAATGCAGCTGGCTGATGCTGTATAAGCTCTAAAGCAAATGCTCTTCAAAGGGCATTTAAATCCATTGCTTCCACAAGATTCTGAAATGAATATATTTATTATTTATTAAATGCAAATACTCAAGCACAGTGAAACACAGAAATTTCTTACCACCAAATTACTGCATTTTCACACCTATGTGGACTTGTATATAGACAGGTAAACTTTTTTACATAATTTGATATTTTACCCGGCAAGGATATGCATAATTATGTGGGGTATTTAATAAAACAAATCATGTGTGTTAAAGCCAGTGGTTAAAGCTTTCAGAAATGTATGTCTGCGTATATTCTTGGCAGGCAAAGTATCAAAATATGTAAACAAAGTTTACCCAGCAATTGTTAGATAATCATTATCCTTTGAGTGCACTATCACAGTGAACAACATTAGTTACATAACATATTCTCAAATGAGCCATTGCTCAGGCCATCTTTTGCGTATAAACTAACGAAACATATATAAACTAATGAACGAATACAATAAGATTACATGTGAAGCACGTTTTAATATAACGAACAGTACATAACTAATAGCAATATTATGCCTATAATACAAACTCACCATCTGTCCTTCGATTGTTCATACATGTATCAAAATCCTCTTCGTGGCACGCGCTTGAGCAAAAAATACCCATACTTTTGCAGGGACAGGAATTTCGCCCTCTCTATCGAAGACAGAAGCTGGCACAAGCCGCGACATGAACATATCGTTTCCAATTCTTCCAGCGAAAAGCTTTCTCCCAGTGCTTCTGCCATGAGAGCAACAATGACTCTGGCAATGTGTTTCGACGAACAATGCCCCAAGGAAAGATTCATGATTACTTTGACACTTCCAAAGTTTATTTTACAATGCCGAACATTAATATAATCAACACAATGAGTGCGAACTCGCACCTTTGGCTCGGCTGTGTCGGTCTCTTCTGAATGTTTCATCAACGAGGCACACAAAAAACAAATGCCGAATTGATCAACAATATATCTTCCATTGATGATCTTTCAAAATATTTAATTGCTTGTCTTTCAGAAGACAATTTAAAAAAAATTAACAACTCCACTCCTGACTCGGACTCCATTTATTTCGTGCATAGCCGCTATACTTCATATTATACAATTGAAGTGGATCCAAACCAGAACAAAAAATGTAAACAAAGCCCGCACATGCGCAGAATGGACTGTAATCTAGCTTTAAAAGAATTAGAACATTATGGTATAAGAGGAATATGCTTAAAATGGTTCGAAAATTATTTGAAAGAAAGAAAACAAATAGTCAAATTTAACCTTCATGGATCAAAAGAAATGACTATTACTACTGGTGTTCCTCAAGGATCAATTCTTGGTCCATTGCTTTTTCTTCTATATGTAAACGCTATAGAAAACTGTAGTGATGTCCTTCTTTTGTTTTATTTTCAGATGACACAAATGTTTTTAATTCAAACTCCTGCTTAGAATCTTTAGGTAATACTATGCAAATAGAAATTAATAAACTAATACACTGGTTTAACGTAAACAAACTAACAGTTAATGCTACCAAAACTAAAATTATTGTTTTCAAATCAAAAAATCAAAAAATAAAATGTGATGTCTCTATAAAGATTAACAATCAGATTATTCAAAGAGTGTCGTTTACTAAATTCTTAGGTGTTATCATTGATGAAAAACTAAACTGGAAAAAACCACATTGATTTTGTAAGAAAGAAAATTACTAAATCAATTGGTTTAATAGCAAAATTAAGGCATTCTACGAACATAAACACTTTAAAATTACTGTACTATGCATTAATATATCCTTACCTTACATATGGAAATTTATCTTGGGGTTGCACATACCCAACTACAATTCTAAGGGCCTGTTTATATGATCCCGCCTAGACGGGACGGGACGTTTTCATCCCACCTAGACGGGATACTCGCCTAGTGTTTATATGGACAAAATACATTGCCGGGATGAAGCCATTTAAGTGCTTGACGTCATATTTTTGTTGCAATAAAGGCATTTACGCATGCTCAAAAGGGAAAAATTCATCCCGCCTAGCCAGGATGAAGTGTTTATATGGGAATTTTTCGTCCCGGCTAGGCGGGATGAAGTGTTTATATGGGAATTTTTCATCTCGCTCAGGCGGGATCCCGGCATCTGTTGCCGAGATCCCGTCTAGGCGGGATAAGTGGCGGGATCATATAAACACTCTTCAGAATTTGCATTACGAGCGGGATCTCGGTAAGCATCCCATCCCGCCTGGCCGGGATCATATAAACAGGCCCTATAAGTTTATACAAATTACAAAAGAAGTTAGTTCGAATTATGATGTTTAAATCTTTTAAAGAACATTCAAAATCTTTATTGGAAAAACTGAACATTCTTAATATTTTTAAAATAAATGATTACCTCACAAGTTTATTTATGTTTCAATACAATGTTACTAAAGACATAAAAGATATTTTTGAAAACATTTTCATCCAAAATAATTGTATTCACCAACATTACACTCGCAATTCAAATAAACTGCACAAAACACTTACAAGAACAAATCACAGAAAAAATACCATATTCAATAAAGGAATAGATATATGGAACAATCTTAATGAAGAAGTTAAAAAGGTTATACTGTATATCCATCCTTTAAAAGAAAAATTAAATTATATTACCTATATCTGTAAAGTCAGTTAATTTGGGTATACAACTCTTCTTGTAGGCTCTTATTAACTGACTTTCAATCTACTATATTATATATATTGTAATATAACCTTTTATTAATTAGTACATGTATATATACTATGAAAGACAATTTGAACTTTTTCAACACTTATTTAATTGACATATATTTTATACTTCGTTTATATTAGTTACTTTCCATGTACAAATAATTACTGTTATTTCTATAATCTAATTTCACCCGAAATTTATGTTATCATAGGGGTATTTAATCAAAAGCCCTTCAAGGTTTCACAAAGACCACTAACCTAGGGAACTATGTAAATAATAACTTTAATCAAAATATGTAAAATCATTTTGTTAGGCAATAAACAAACAAACAAACAATTTGTTGACTAATAACCATTTATGTACGTTTTCGAGGTCGGTATTTAGTTTGTGTTCAATGTCACTGGGTATAGTTGCTACAGCATGATATGTTGGTATCGTCCGCAAACATAGACGCTCGAGTTGTTTCTAAACAATTAGGCAGATCGTTTATTGTAAGTAATAGCATAGTTGCCCGGGTTTCTTTTGTTTCAACAGGGACGTTTAATCACGTATCGCCCGCTGTAGCGGGCGATTAGTTCTAATCGCCCGCTAGAGCGGGCGATTAGAACTAATCGCCCGTTACCAAGGGTCACACCTTTGTCTCCCTGACGACTACGCATTAGCACAAAATAAATAATAAGACCAGAAGTCTCACTCGATGTCGGAATCTTTGATGTTGATGTCCCCGCGCATGTCGGCTCGCGCATCTTGGCCGCGTCTCGTTTCCAGTGCCCTAAACAAGTGTAATTTGACAAATTTACATATAAACATTAAGGAGTGAGGAAGTTAAAACGATACCAATCGAGTTTTAGAGCTTTGGTGACCATTTTAAAAGAATATATGATAAATTCAAAGGTAAGTCTATCGTATTACATTGTCTTAAATGAATTCTCAGCTAAAATACGGCAATAAATGGATCATAAATTTAGTTAAATTCACTGTTGACAACGAGGTTGACAGATCCAATGATTTTTTTCCTTGAATAGCTTTACCATAGTCATTTTACCTTAAAATGTGGCTACCGAGGATATCTCTAAGAGATTTTGCACAGATTATTTGCACAATCTCACGATTTAATCATGCTGATAACATGAAAATCCTTGTGCCATTGTATACTTGGCATATTAATCTCCACATCAATAGTTCACCAGTTCAACACTTATAAGTTATAAATTCAATATATTTTTGAACCAGTCCATATATTATTATACACAATGTAGTATAGTTAATTTGACCATTGAGAAGTAAGGGTGTATTACATTACACAGACACTGCTGAATTTTAGGTTACATGCCATTGGATTGATATATAAAAACATTTGTAAAAACACACATTATCTTGTTGATAGAATAGTTATTTGCAGTATACTAACTGTTGGCATACTCTATTTCAGGCCTATCAATTGTTTTTGTCACTGGCAATCTTTGAAATACAATCTTGCTCTGTGGCCTTTACTGACAAGTTGGCTTTTACTACATATGTGGCACTGACACCTCTTTAATTAATGCACCAGTCAATGTAAACCCCCCAACCGGGGAGGGGCAGGGATTTTGACTTGGAGGGGTAGTAAAAGCAAAATTGTCCCGCCCCCAGGGACATCAATGTCCCCTGCATGTCTCTCAACTGCGGGAAAATAGTTTTGTATAATCATAGATCAGCAATAGAAAATCAAATTCATTTAATATGTTGTTGTATTTAAACTTTTCTTGTCAAGAAAACTAAAACAGCAACACAGGATATATATATTAACCACCGTCCAAGTCTCCCATCATCGGGGCAAATTTATAATCAAAACAGACCACTTTCCCCACTAAACCTCCCGCCCCTCCCCGGTTGGGGGCAGGGATTTACATTGACTGGTGCATAACTAGATGATTGCATGAAAGTTGATTTACGTATAATTAGTTTATGAATAAACTCGCACTTTCATTGTAGAGGTTAAGATTTGAGTTCTACTAGCACTATCTCTGACTGCCTTAAGCCGCGTTCACACCAGCGGCCCAGGCCTGGCCTTGACCTGGCCTGGGCCAATTGTGACGCATTCACACTGGCTTGACGCCCAACTCCAGGCCAAAGCAATCAGGCGTCAATATAAACGTCCTTGTGTTCCACTAAAGTATTTAATTTTGCGCTTTGAATGTTTTTCCCTCCAATTGTATGACAATCATCTGACCAGTTTTTATCGTGGGCAGATATTGCGATGGTAACGGGGCCTCGCCCAGGCCAGGCACAGGAAAAACCTGTTCACACCAGTGATGATCAAGGCCAGGCCAGGTCCAGGCCACCTACATTTGCTGGCCTGGATTTCTTGACTTAGGCCAGGCTCAGGCCAGGTAAAACCCGTTCACACCTAGACCCAGGCTAGGTCCAGGCCAGGCCTGGGCCGCTAGTGTGAACGCGGCTTTAGTATGCATCTGATTGGTTATAATGGTTGATCGAATATATCAAATGCATTTGATGGTCCCTTAATGGTAATGGTAGTCAAATCTGAACCTCTATAATGTCAATGAAGAATGCATACTGGAAAAGTATCAAATTAAATTTTAATTGTCAATGTTGTGGAAAGTAAATAAATCAAACAATTCTGTTTGTTTCAACTAACTAGTTCACTATCACTTTGGTTTTCAAATCAAAGAATCTTTAGCCTGGTTGAGCTTTTGAAAAAGTAGCTACTTTAGTGAACGCAAGATTATTTTACTCTGTCTAACACCAGACAATTTCACTTGTCAAGGGGAAAGTGCTGCCATTCAGTGAACTCAATCAGAGCTCAATGAGCAGCAGCACTCTCCCTCGATAAGTAAAATCATCTGGCATTAGATGAAGTGAAATAAACTAGTAAAGTAGGGTGCATTGGGGCACAATGCAGCTTACTGGGTTAACTGGAAAATATATTTATTTAAACAATACAGTAATACACACCCTATACTTGTATTTCAATTCATAGCATGATTTGGTATGCTTATGTCTATTTGACCCAAGTACCAGACAGGAATGATATTTGAATCACACCTGTATTCATTGAACAAAGCTAATTTAAATGTACATTAATTGTACATGAATCATGTAGATGTAAAAACTAGTTAAGAGCAAAAACACACCCACACAGTTTTGTTTTTTATTTTTCTTGAGAAGGAATAACTGAGTTACAATGAGACCAGTATCAACAATTTCAAAAAGGTATTGTACAAAAATATTACAAACATAAGACACTTTAATTAAAGACAGAAAACACACAAAGTATGTCACTACAGAAACTGTATTCTGTGATATAGACGATATTGCTTCAAGGAAACTTGCAGCTTTTAAGGGCCTGTTTATATCAAAACTGGCTGGCCGGCTAAGTGAGACAGCCCGGTAAGTGAGATCTCGCTGTCTACTTATTTTTTATAGTAAAAATTATAATTAAAATTGTTTCTATGTACAAGCGGGAGGCCGTGTTGCAGAGACCAGGATGGAAATTTCTCCATATAAACAATCACAAGCAGGCTAGCCCAGTTGCCAGGATGAAAGTTCAACGATACTGCCGCAAGCTATTTTTAACAACTGTCAAAACAATGTCAAAACAACAAAATAGTCCCGGTAAGCAGGATGAAATTTTCTCAAATAAACACAAGAGAAATCATCCTGCGTATATACCTTACCGGGCTGTCTCGCTAAGCGGGCCAGCCCGGCTTCCATACAAACAGGCCCTATAAACAGTCTCTGTCAGGCAATTACAATGTTCTAATGTCCAAACTCTAAAGTATTATAAACAAGCAGGACAGACCACTTATGCACCTATCAATGTTAAGCCCCAGAGGGGGGGGGGGGGTCGGGCATAGGTGGGGCATTTGATTTTTTGAGCAAATTTTCAATCAAATGCCCCACCGTCGGGCAATAAATATTGGTCAAATGCCCCACTATTTTGCAATAAATACTATATTAATAAAGGTTAATTGGTTCAAATGGCCCAACTTGGGGCCAAAATGCTGATCAAAATCCCCAGGGTGGGGATGCAATTGATGATCAAATACCCCACATATGCCCGACCCCCCCCCCCTCTGGGGGTTAACATTGATAGGTGCATTATTGCAAGTTGCTAGTATTAAGTCATATCAACATGTGATCTCGACAATATACAGTGTATAAACTAAAGTAATTCAGCTTCTACACATGAAGCGACTTTAAACACTATCCTTACACTTTATCAATTCATTGAAGTTTGACATTCTATTTGTAGTATTACATCACAAGACATATTCTATTTGTAGTATCAAGTCACATCAGGATTTTATAATCTAGCGTTTTTGGACCCAAGTGATCTAGAGTTCTATCTTGTTAAAACCTATCCAAGGAAAAACAAGAAAGGGATATTGAAGTAATGGTGTTTTTGAGCCAAATAAATTCGAATATCCACCAGTATAAATGCAGTACTCCGTATATACTGGAGACAAAATGGCATCATAGCGAACACATTTTAATGATGCTCAAATTTATATTTAGTGCGCTATTTTCTTTAAAATATGACCCTGTTTGCTTTCTAAATACAACAAAATTACTGCTTTACCTTCTGTTGAAATAGTTCCACAGATAAATCGAAGTCACATTTCGTACTACTTGAAAAAAAGCTGTTTTTACTGTAGGAATGACAACTTCCCAATATAATTTTCTATTGTCAACATTGCATTACACTTGTTTAGCTCGCGCATGCGCAATAAAAAAGATGGGACATGTTTCCGCTTGAGTAAGACTTCTGGTATTATCTCTTCTGTGGGTAGGGTGTCCTCAGATTTGCTCTGTTATATAGCTCACAGCCGACCGGATATAAGCTATTCTACCATCTGATTGGCTCTCTCGCCAAAATCAGAGCTTCCACTTTTCAGGAAATTCTCCAATTTGGAAGAAAATTGGCACATGCCTGCATATTTAGTTTTTTTTGCAGATAGCCCAAAAATAAAGGGGCGGGGCTTATATAAGGGGAACTTATATA